CCAATCTTTTTACGGGATGGATGCTATGTTTATTAAGAAAAATGCAAATTGTTTTTTAAACGATTAAGATTTATCTCAAATCATTCAGTCGATAAATCATGGAATGGATATAGATACATTTAAAAAGGTTTGTAAAACTCAATGGAGAAACCCAGATGATCATGGATATGTATTTGTTAATACTAGAAAACCTGCAGGTTAAAGAGTTATGATTGGCATATGTTAATTTATTTTTTTAAAAATGAATAGCGATTGGAATAATATTTTAAAATGAAATAGAGAATATATTAAAGCTAAAAATAAAATAATGTCACAAGTTGAAAAAACAAATTACAACAACTTGGATTAACAGAAAATCTACTAACTCTATTTCAACCAATATTAAAAACTCAAGAGGATATTAAAAAGAAATTAGCTTTAGAATATAGAATCACACCTTGTATAGAACCTACACCCTATAAAGATCACCCCGATCCAAAATCGATTGAATATGGTGGTATAATTAGGACATTAGATGATATAAAGCAGATTTACCAAAGAGTATTACACCAATCATTGATGATGAGGGGTTATTGTTTAATGGATTTAGAATAAAATTTAGGGCAAATTCCCCTATATTCAAAATAGATACAAAATACTTTATATTTACATTAACAAAAGGATTAATAGATGTAATGAATGGGGGGGAGGGGATGTTTATATTGCTGATTACAAGGATTTAGTATCATACTCAAAATTTTTACATGCAATAAGAAAGTCGGGACCCGAAACAAATAGATCAAAACAAGTTGAAACATATATAAAAAAAGTTATTGGTGATGAATATGAAGTTGAGGAATCAGATGATGAATATGAAGTTGACGAAGCAGATGATTATGCTGAAGACAATTCAATCACACAAGAAATAGACGAATTCGAAGATATGGTATCTGGACAAGGTATAACGTTTTTATCCGACAACGAGGAACTACTGAATAGGAATTAATTGAATAGGAATTTATTATTATTTATGTAAAATAGATATTAAAATTTGCAACTAATTGTAAGACATTGCAAAGAGGTTTCTAAACTTTTTATTGGGAACACTGATAGCATTGATTTGCACCATTGTAAGACATTGCAAAGAGGTTTCTAAACTTTTTATTGGGAACACTGATAGCATTGATTTGCACCATTCCAATTTCCATAATAGTCAGTGGTTCTTGCAATATTAAAACTAAGTGTTTTATGATGTCACCCCCGCCAAGACCCCATATGAACTTAAGAGGGTGGTAACTCACGCTTTAGAATTTTGAAGGATTTTGCTAGACAAACATACATGTGTACAGGTCAAGAAAAAAACATCTGGAGATTTGCCTTGAAAAATCTGGAGATTTGGTGAAAAGTCGGGGAAAATTTTTCCAAAGCGCATAAATTCATGATTTTGAAACTCCAAATTGATTATTTTTTTTTTAAAATAAGCCTTAAGCCTTGTAAATTAATTAAATTGATCATAGGCCTACATGACACAGTTAACTTAATTAAAATTAACAAATCTATAATAGGGATAGGCCTACTCAGGCAAAATAACTCTAGAAATAGTGCCTGATATTTTAAGTTTAGGGGCCCAAAAAATGTTAATATTGTCATTCTTCAGTAATTATTGAATCAAAAATAATGTCAAGGTGAAATGAAAACAAGCATGATCCCAGCCCTCTAAATTAAATGGTACCGGTAGGCCTACATCATACATGTAATACCATATTAAAAAATCGGTACATTCTGAAAGCAATATTTAGTAAATAATATGTACTGGCAATGTTACTTTTTCCAAAGGTGTAATTCATGACATCTAAAATATCTCCAGTCCGATCATTAAATAATTTTCCTGCAACATTCTCACGAAGTATTGAACTGAATTTACCGCTTTTTGACATTCTTCAGATATGGAAAGACTTGTAATAAGTAAGCTTGTTATACAGGCAATAAATGAATGTTTACAGGCTACAGTAAAATTACTAAACGATTTTATGAAACGAAGTTTGAGTTTACATAAGAATTAGACATCCAGTCGCGCATCATAATCTACCGATAATAAAAAAGATTTCTGAAACAACGTCTATGTTATATAGGCCTATCAGACTGCCACAGATTGACGGTATAAAATACTATGAAGACTTCAAGGTTTCGTTTTTTAGTAGAAGTAGAGCTACCGTAAAATTTACGGTAAAAGTGAAAGTAGAATCTACCGGATGTTGTTTTATAAAGTGTGTCACGTGGGCTTAAAATACACATTATCGGGTGAAAATAGATCAAATTACTATCTTAATTAGGGATTAATTAATCAGGTACTGATAATATTATTACCTGATGAGATTAATGCGTGTTATCGATGATCAAGATACAAGTAATGATAGATATTTTGTTGCTTTATGGTAAAGAATTTGGACATTGAAAGCGGTAGGCCCCGTGAAAATTTGATCAAGAAAAAAACAAAAAATCGGTAGAATTGGGTATACCGCCGGTAGAGCGGTAGACAACATGCAAAAGCGGTAGAAACCCGACATCATCGGTAGATTACACATGTATGTAGACAAATAACGCCTTCTACATGAACTCTTGCAGAAGCAACACAACGGTCATTTACAACTTTGTGTGGTTCTAATTCCCCTTTAGTATTGTTGGTCTATTGACATATTTATCCTTGCAATTAAAAATGTCTTGTACCATTATTCCACGATGAGCCATAATACTGTCATAGGAATCACTTATATATGACACTGAACCCTGTGGAAGTAGAAGTCATCAAAATCATAAAAACCTCTATAATACTGCAAGGCCTTCGAATCTGTTCTAAACACTCGATAGAAAAGTTGTTGGCCGAAGTCATTAAACAATGTACATCTGCATCTGCGTACTTTTGTTCCTCTTCTTGGCAAATGGACTGGTCTTCACTATCAATCTCAATTTCAGCAACTTCCAAACTATCAACAGTAGTAATACTAGTATATGTATTAGGAGGGGCTGTAACTGTAGTGGAACTTATTCTTTTCTTTAGACGGTCGTCTCTTGAAGTGGAAAATTTAGAATAAGATGTATGTCTCAAATCAAAAACTGTTCGAATGACATGGTCTTTCAAAATTCTTATTTCACCTGTTGGAAGAGAAAAAATCAAATCAGTGACTTTATGGGGTGATAGCACAATCTACTTTACTTTGGCTCTTCTGAATGGAAAAATAATAGGCAGTGCTTGACAGGCGTAGGCTAATTATCATTATGCTGGGCAGGTGAATCTGTCCAAATTATTAGTGATATTGATACTATACTGCTAACAATTTCCTTTCCGAACTGTGTAAGAGTAAACCCTGATAATTAATGGTATTAGCGCAAGTCATAACAGTGCACAGACCCAAAACGTTGACCATTTTTGACATCTGCTGGGTGGCAGTCTGACTTCAAGTTCTAAATCAAATTATGTTTAGCTCTTGAATTGCTAAAATCTTGCGATGGAGTTTGACAAATTTGTGTCAGGAAGTGTGATAAATAATTATTCTATCTATCAGGCAACAATTCCAAATATTTAAGAACTTACCAAGTAGTGAAACTGGACGGAAATTGCTCTGCAAGAAATGACTGGAACACACAACATCCCACTGCTTTGGCGGTCCACCAAAATTCCAGCAATCAGGAACACAACAATATTGAGGCATTGTTTTTTTGTTGTTCATCTGCTACTGTCAAAACAAAACTCAATCCACCATAAAAAAGTATGCCGCTCAGTACAGTGGCACCACCAGAGTAGATAACTCGTTATGAAATAGCCTCCATTTGAAGTGTTTGGGGACGCCCATTCGTTCATAGACATGACTAAAATTTCCATTAACTGCAGGGATTAACGAGATCACGTCTGGTTCTTTACAAGTATGAAAAAGGAGATGTTTACTAAAGACGCCATTTTGAGATCAATTTCTATTTCTGGATGTGTGCGTATGGGTAGGAATAATACTTAACCTCAACAAGAAGGGTTATTGGCATCAATTTCGTAATGTATACGCCATGAGGAAAGCGGAGTTGAAAAAACTATCGCTAAAAGTAAAGACATCTCTCAAGGAAAAAATTAGGACTTATCTAATAAGAATTTCAATGAAATCCTGCGATATAAATTCACAAAGCGCAACCAGCCTCATCATCAAGGCAAAGCCGAACATGTATCTAGAAACAAAAAACGAGTGCCGTCAGAAGAGAGAGAAATGCTGTGAGCTAAGGATACATCTCACTTCATCCTTACTACCAATAATTCTTATCTGAAAAGCAATTCAAGAATCTTCAGTGTGTCTATAAAGCAATCCAAGAAATTGAAAGCTTTTTCAAAGTTTTCAGTGAGAAGAACAATTCAACGTGGCATCGATGAAGTGAATGAATTTAAAGCGGTAAATTAAATAAGACATAACTACGAACAACCGATAGCAACAAAGAACCCATGAAACTTATATCCATAAAATATATTATATTCATAATATTTATTTACGTGCTTAAAATTGAAGAACAAGGCAATAACTCATACTAATTATTTTTCGATTTTTCTGATTTTCAATAGGATTCATCCATGGGTGATAATAAACACTCATACCAGGTTTCGTCAAAATCTGTCAATAATTGAAATTTATAAACCATTTATGAGCTACAAATTGAAAGCGTTTTCAAGAACAAGGACAATAACTCATACTAAATATTTTCTGATTTTTTTGTTTTCAATAGGGTTCATCCTTGGGTGATTACAAACAACCATACAAAGTTTTGTCGAAATCAGTCAAGAATTGTGCCTTGTAGAGTGTTTAAGGAGGGACGGACAGACGGCGGACGGACGGAAATTTCATATGGGTATAAAAAATAGACCAAAACAAGTGTGACAATGAAATTAACAGCCTGTAATTTACACTAACCACTTGACATGTTTACAAAAACAAGCAATCAATTGTAATCACATAACAATAAAAAATTGATAAAAGCCAATAATATACCTTGCATGTCAAATAAACTGGCAGCATTTGTAGCTTTTAGATTCAGTTGACTGGATGAAATAGGATTTAAAAAATTTCGATAACCCTTTAAAATACAGGACATAAAATGTAAAAATGCTTCTTGTATTTCCAATTCTGTTGACATCTATAACATAAAAATTCAATATTTCAAACTATAATCAAATACAGATATTTTTTCTCATTCGGATTCCGTCAAACATAAACACAACACGTACATAATATTTTCAAGGGTATAAAATGTTACGCATATAGAAAGTCTAATCTCCCAATAAGGCATTTTTTTTTCGATATTTGAACATTATTTTATGAATTGGTCTGCCTTCAGTATTATATGTCTTTATTTTTCCTTATCTATCATATACTTGAAACACAATGTAAGTGATGTAGGTCGGAGGCCCCTTACTGTGCACATTTAAGATCCCTCGACAGTTGGAATTGCAGAAATGCAATTGTCCTGGCAAGAATCATGCCTTTTCACAAACAAGGGTAAAGATAGCTTCCCAGAAAAGATAATATATGCCCACTGGCAGCTTTGATTTTAAACAAAAATATTTGGTAGTACAGTAACAATTACCAGTATGAAAAATTCAACCTTTGGTCATACATAATAATATTAGTTTCATCAAAATCTGTCAAGAATTTGGCCTTTTAGATGGTTTACGGACTTGAATGCGTTTTAAAGAACAAGAGCAAAAACTCATACAAAATATTGTTTGATTTTATTATTCTGATTTCACAATTTCTGATTTTCTGGGTTCATTCTTGGGTGAAATTTCGTCAAAATCAAACAAAGATTGTGTCTAAAATGTTTACATGCTAACTATTGAACACATTTTCAAGAACAAGGGCAATAAATTTTTTTTCGATTTTTCTGATTTTCAATAGGGTTCATCTTTGTTATCACAACAAACATTTTCATGAAGTTCCGTCAAAATCTGTCATAAATTGAACCTTGAACCTTCTACAAGCTAAAATTGAACACGTTTTTAAGAACAAGGGCAATAACTCATACTAATTATTTTCGATGTGCCTTCCAGAGTATATATGAGCAATTGTAGACGGACTTCTAGTACTTGCAAACTTTTTCAGGCGATACTAAATATTAGCAGGTTTCGTCAAAATCTGTCAAGAATAGGGCCTTCTGAAGTGTTTTAATCAGCCGGCGTTATTAGCTTAAACAGCACAAAAAAAAATTTGATGGCAAAGCCTTATTACAAGCAAGCAACCATACCTATAATGTTGATTAGGGTCCCTGGTGAGAGCTAAGTGGGGGGGTTGAAAGATCATATCTTTGCCGTTTCTATGGTAACAAAGTATTACATAATCAAACAAAAAACTAGCTTTTTGCGAGTAAACATAGTTTCTAGAAGTAATTGGAAGTTTTATCGATTCAAATAAGGATTCTACATGTAATTGTGTGACTTTGCTTTTAGCAAAGTCCCAGTTTGTTATCGTAATGTCCCATCGAAATTTACACACCTTCCTGAGCCTAGTTGCAGCAACCATTCAACTTCTCTAGACCTTCTGTAGTGGCAACGTGTTCCTTAAATATATATTGGAACATTTTTGCAAAACCGTAAGTGCCACAGTTCAGCATGTGCAAAAAGTTGAAAACAGCTCTAAAAGGTGCATTTTTGCCTCTATTTTTTGCGGACTTTCATTTTTAGAATGTGTCTGTAATTTCTAATCTGATAGTAGTTGCAGAATTTTGAAATTCGAAATTTTGTCGCACACTTTTTTGATCAAATTTTGCAATTATTTTGCAACTTTTTTGTTTTTGTATCGATTGATCTGAAATTTAAAATTCAAAGAGACATCACTAAAGTAAATAACATGTAACTGTCAAATATTTAAATTATTGAAAGTACAATCCACTTCCGGTCGAATAACTTCCGGTGTAATTGAAATAGGTCAACGAAATTTATGTAAGAAAATGCCATTACAAAAAAACGAAGAAAAAAAAATCCAGACAGGAAGTGATACTTTGGCCGCCATATTGAAAAAACACACTTTTTGTAAAACTCAAAATGGGGCCTCAGGGTAAATGTTGATATGCTCAAATTAGATGTGTATGTATTATGCAATCGATTGCGCAAAAAACGTTTGAATTTCAGTTTTGCTTTTTTGCAACTTCCGGTTGAAATTTTTTCAAACTGAAAACACTGATACCACGTGACCTTGACCTTTGATGACCTTGACCTTTATACGGATGGCTATCAGTTGAAACTTCGACATTTGACCTCCGACATGTACTTCCGGTTTTTTAGTTGTCCGAAAACAGCCAAATTCGCAACTTTGGACTGCTCTAGCACGTGACCTAATTAACCCAGAGGGTTACTTTTTTCGGTTTCCTAATGTGCTTCTCATGCACTTTACATAGATATATAACAATCGTTTTTTTAAAGCAAAATTGAAATTGGTGATTTTTTCAAATTTGAGAGGTTTTTTTTACAATATTTGTGTCTCTTTGAGCTTGGTGTATGTATATCTTATGACCTATTTGATGTAGAACCTTGAAATTTGGAATACAACTAGACACTTTGAATATGAATTCACCTATGACGAAAAAATTAATGTGGGCATGGCACATCCGGGTTGAATTACTAATTGTTAACATTTAGGGGCAGGGGCATAAATTGCATAGGATACGTTTGTTCAAAAAGGGACTTTGCACACAATTCCCTCATCCTTTTGACCAGTTTGTGTTAACAGCTCAGTTGTTTCAGCTTTATAGTTCGAAAAAAGGAATTTGGATATTTTCATTTTTTCGATTTTGACCTTCTTTGACTTTTGTCAAGGTCATTGACCTTGGCTATCTGCTGATACTTTCATTTGTGAGGTCTGACGTCTACTACCGGTATTAGAATCTTCTAAATAATGAAAATTTCTCAACTTCAGACTGTTCTTGCACTTGACCTAATTATCGTCAAAGGTTGATTTTTCAGGGTCTTTAGCAAATTGCTACATTTGCAAAGTCCCACTCTGTGCCACGTGTGGCTCTAGTTCCTTTTTGTTTTGCATTTACCTGATAAAAAAAGCCTCAAAAAAATTTTTGCCATGGTAACCACCTGTAAAAACCATTTAAATTGGTACTAAATGATTATAAATACAAGGAAATTTGTAAAATGTTGATGAGTCAGTGATGACAAGCATGTGAGAGATGTCAGTAAGATTCTACTGTACGCATTTTCATTAATTCTTTGGATTTTTTTCCATTTTGGCATTCCACACTCGTGATCTATTAGATGTGGAAGTTTCAAATTTTGAAGAATTTTAATTAAACACCAAAAATCATAGAATTATAAACCAAGAAGTTAAGTTAAGACTGTATTTCATTTTTATTCACCCAAAAGTTAATGTCAGAAATTTTAATTATATTCCGAGAAGTTGTTTTACTTACTTTCCTACAAATATATTGTGCAACAGGTTTTATTATGTACAAAGAAATGTTAATATTCATATCCCAAAAAAAAAAAATTCTATAAAATTTTCTATTTATGTACCAAGAATTTTATTTATATTCCAAGAGGTTTTTAAAAGATCATGTTGCAAGATATTAATTTTTATGGTCCAAGATTCACATGATCATTCAAGATTCACAAAAGCTGATGACATGAATGCTAAACTAAAGTAGTTTTTATCTTAAGTTAATCTGATTTTATCTGGAGCGTTGTTACTTTAATAGGCCCAACGTATAGAGTTATTACATTGATGGTCTTATGTCACTGTGCCGACTATGACTAGGTCTTCTTCGAGGTTATGCTATATATTGCAAAGTTAATTGTAATGTATATTTGCGGTCAACATCTATATAAAGTTTGAGCTTTATATGAACATGTGTAATTATAGCTAAATGCCTATTTGAAAATTTTCTTTAGGGCCTATTATCAAAAAAAGTGTCCAATAGCTTCATATTTGTATTTTATTAGATGTTTAAAACAAAATCAGAATACAGGGCCTGTTTAATATAGGTCTGCTGATGGAAGTGCGAGGGGGGGACTTTTGCCTTCTTTGATTATAAAAATATTCACCTGCTAACAAATGTTTGTTCTACTTTCACTTCATTAGATGTCAAATATCAAAGTATCAACTGATAAACAAGACAAGAGATATAAGCCTTAAGTTTTTGAGAAAAATTCAACAGGAAATTCCAAAAAAGCATAATAAAAATACAAAATCAGCTTTCAAAGATCTTAATTTTTTTTTTATGTTCTTTCATTTGACAACAAATTCATCAAAATCAGATGAGCCTTAATGTCTGAATAACAATTGACGTATTTCATTAAGATATCTTGCCAGGCAAGGTAACATACATCCAATCTCATTCTCAGAAAAGATAACAAAGTCTGTAGTAGCTTCATAATTACAAAGTTTCATAAAGATTGGATAAAAACTGTAGTCTCTATTGTGCCTACAAACTAAATTGACGCTTTTACTAAGTCAAGGACAAAAACTCTGAAGCCGTTTATAAGATAGTTACCAATTTCGAATTTGACTGAGATCTCATCAATATTTACATGCATACCAAGTTTCATTGAGATTGGATAAAAACTGTCCAATCCAAATTTGACTCTTTTTTTGACTGAGATCTCATCAATATATACATTACAGAAATGTGGACAGACGGACCAACTGACTGACTGACTGATTGGCGACGCCAATATACATCCACATTTCAATGTGTAAATTCCAAATAGAGATGTCCGTCTGCTCACATTTCTTGTAAGCATGATAGAGACTACAGTTTTTATCTGATCTTGATGAAACTTGATATGCATGTATGTATTGATGGGATTTCAGTCAAGTTCGAATTTGGTAATAATCGGTTGAACTGATTCAGAATTATTGCCCTTGAATTAGTAAAAAAGTGTCAAATTTGCCTTGTAGGAATGATAGAGACTACAGTTCTCATCCGATCTTCATGAAACTAGGTATGCATGTATATATTGATGAGATCTCACTTGAGTTCGTTATTGGTAACAATTGGATGAAGGTTTTCAGAATGCCTTGACTAAGTAAAAACTTGTCAAATTCGACTTGCAGACACGATGGAGACTACAGTGTTTATCAAATCTTGGTGAAACTAGATGTGTGCATAATGAGTCTATGAATTATTGCCCCTTG